CGCTGCAGCTTGTTCGAACTTACATTTTTACAAGCAAAATGATCCAAAACCAAGAGAAAATATGCTGTCAAGTAGCTGTACATGTAGGTGTGAGCGACGAACGGTTCGTTGAACGGAGTTGTTGCGAGTGCGCGACGATCGTTCGTGACAAGGTGGTAGGCGCGATGGTTTCAAGGGCCGGAGCGATCGTGGTGGAGGGAGAGGCAAGGGAAGAGGCGGTGGGGGAGAAGGCCGCGGTGGCAGAAGGGGCCGCGGCGGCCGTGGAGGAAGGGGAGGGAGCAGCCGTGGCGGTGGCCGAGGTGGGGGAATGAAGGGCGGGAGCAAGGTCGTCGTCCAGCCCCATAGGCATGACGGAGTTTTCGTGGCCAAGGGGAAGGAAGACGCTCTCTGTACTAAGAACATGGTTTCTGGTGAATCTGTTTATGGCGAGAAGCGCGTTTCCGTTCAGGTGAGTCTTCTTTCCACATTTATTGATGTGTGTGGTTCTCGAATGATATTAAGATGCCAAAGTTTAAGCTTTTTCTTAACCAAGTTGTTTCTTTTCTGCAGAATGAGGATGGAACGAAAGTTGAATACCGGGTGTGGAACCCCTTTCGCTCGAAGCTGGCAGCAGCCGTTCTTGGTGGTGTCGACAATATATGGATTGTGAGTGTTCCTTTGTTGATTTGATTTGATTTATATGCATGTATTTTTGTTCAAATTTCAAGATAGACCTTTTTCTTTTTTTTAAAAAAAATGTCTATGATAATCAAGTCTTAATCGTTGACAGTTCTAGAAAATGATATCCATGTTAGTCAAAATTATACTTGTTGGACTGTCTGCTGGTTTACAAAAGGAACTTAGTTTCGGCTCTCTGGTAGTCATAAGAAAGCTATAACTCTGTATGTTTTCTTTTTGTGTTTGCTGGTTCAATTTGATGTCCCGAAGTATGAATTTTACTTGACTATGCATGCTCAAGAACCCCTTGGTGGGCATGCTTTTGAATGATTATTTGTGTTGTGTGTTTCTGTTTTGTTATTTGTTTTTCCTGTTACAGTCAAGCCCTCATGCCCTATTAGAAGTTGGCATTGATCACAATATTTTTAAAAGGTTCTGTATCCTCAAATATTTGATTCATGCAATTGAATGCATCACTTTTTTAAAGAGAACACACTTGTTTAATTGTGAAGCAAGCATTTCAGTGTCAAGACAAAAGCATGATCTTCCATTTGCATTCTTTAATAGGATTATGATTTCCAGCATCATATTCTTGGTTCTATGACATGTTCTATTAACTTGGTGGGCTCTAATCTATAATATCATCGTGAGTTATTAATAAATGTCACAAGATGTCCACTTTTAAACAGTCTCCTAAAATCTTCTACAAGCTTCTTTTCTTCTCTTTGTCACAAGATGTCACAAGTTGTCCAGAGGTTATATTACTGCATACGTTACAAGTAAAAATATTGTGGAGATTGATGATTTATCTTTCCCTCAAGTATCATAGAAATAAGTGGATCAGATAAAGGGAGAGAAATAGTGAGATATAATAGAGGAAAATAGATTTATGCTAGGTTTAGGAATACAGCCCAAGAAAGTTGATGTGTAACTCTTAAAGAGCAGTCAAATATCTTGCTTTATATACTTAGTGGTCACAACATCTGCTCAAATTTGAATTATGCAATCATCATGGGGAACTAAAATATCTGTGTCTTCTTTAGCCCATCATTTTTCCCCTTGTTTGTTTTATTTGTCTGTGTGGTTTCTATCTTTCCATTGCTAATTCTTGTTTAGGCTCCTGGGACTCGTGTACTGTACCTTGGTGCTGCATCAGGGACCACAGTGTCTCATGTATCTGACATTGTTGGACCAGTAAGTCAAACTGTGAACTTTTGCAGGAAAGTTTTATATGTTAGTTCTCATTTGTGTTGGAAAAATTACCCCAAGTCTTTAACTGTAATGTCTACATTTCTCACATACAATTAAATTGACAGATGGGAGTTGTGTATGCTGTTGAATTTTCACATACAAGTGGTAGAGATCTCATGAATATGGCCAAGAAGCGAACTAATGTGACTCCCATAATAGGCTGTTGGTTGGCATGGTTGATGTCATCTTTTCAGATGTTGCTCAGCCTGACCAGGTAATTGTTGCAGTTTCTGAGCTATTAGGCTTCGACGCTATGCATATGTTTCTGTTTGATATTCTTCATCATTATCTAATGTATAACCTTCTAAGATAATGAATTCAGGAATTTATAACTTGTCTTTAGTGGTTAATACTTTTGTTGGGAATTGATTTTTGTTTTGTTACCCTGTTTTTCCATTTTTGACGTGGATCTTGAGATGATATATGGTGGCAGCATTTAATTTTTTTCTTTGATAATCGATGAATATTCATTTTCAAATTTGTAGAAATGCTATTTTGCATTAATTTTATGGTTATTTTGCAATTGGAAACTGGCCTTCTTTTTGAAGTATATTATATGTGTTTCTTTTTTTTTTTTTTGTGAGAGAAGATGAATTTTTGTAAATCTTAATAATGTTGTATAACTTCTGGTCGATTTTGAAAATCACATGAACCTTTTTTGCTCTTCTGCTTATAAGGTTTGTTCCCTTATTTTGTTTCGCCAATTAGTCCCAAGCATATGATGAATTACTCGGATGATGCAAATTCGAGTTTCTGATGTGTGTGGACCAGCTCTTCAAGTGCTTTTTTTATTTTGTTCCATATATTTTTGGACTATATGGTATTAAAATTTTAGTGAAGCCCTATTGTTTTTCTCTTTTAAATCTATTCAGATGAAAATCATAATATCTTCTTCACAATGCTGTTTCTTTTTTCTTTCAATGACTGGAATCTAAATTAAAACACTACTTTCAAGTTCATTACAAGTTCTTTTTTCTTTTTTTTTTTTGCTTTACATTCTTTCTCTCTCTCTCTCTCTCTCTCTCTCTTTTTATAATGTTCCCAGCATAGTTGATTTGTTTATTCCTTTCAAAGTTGTGATTTGTACCACCTATCTGTGTTCATATCTCTCTTGGTACCACCACCTATCACAATTATGCAACCTTAGGTTTGTGGAGCTTCTTTAGTGACTGCTAAAATTTAGCTAGACATGAAGAGACTAAGAAGAAACCCAGGATACCCTTTTACAACATTGAGCCATTGACTCAAGAATATTGTTTTGTCTTAGTGCAATTAGCCATTAACCAAATCTCTTAACCATTATTGAAATTGCACTATGGTATGCACTAAGGGGTATTTTCTAGGAACATTTTTTAAAATATTTTTAAATGTGCTTAATCTCTAAGCTTTTTTTATTTGCCGTGCTCCATGTCAATAGTAGGTGTACATGAGTAATTGTGCTATCATGTTATTTCTAACCATAATAAGATGAAAAGTAACAAGCTTGTAGCTGAAAAAAATATGAGTGTCGAGGATTATACATGCAACCTCTCTGGAGCTTACGAGCTAGTACTGGGTCTTTCTAGTTCATCATTTGTTAAAAAAGTTCATCACTTATTCTATTGTTTCTGCAGGCAAGAATCTTGGCATTGAATGCTTCATATTTCTTGAAAAATGGTGGCCATTTTGTGATCTCAATTAAGGTACCCTCAGTTTGTTTATAATGGTTCGAGATTGTCTAAAGGTCCCTGGAAGGTTTTTGGACAATTGTTATAATTGTTTGGCTGCATCATTCTATTACAGGCGAACTGCATCGACTCGACAGTGCCTGCTGAGGCTGTCGTTGCTCAAGAAGTGAAGAAGCTTCAGGCCGAGCAGTTCAAACCTTCAGAGCAAGTTACACTAGAACCGTTCGAGCAAGACCATGCCTGTGTTGTTGGTGGCTATCGGATGCCGAAGAAGCAGAAAGTAGTGACAGAAAGCTGAGGATGGAACTCAAAACTCCATGTCAACCAAAAAACCCTAGAATATTGATGTGTCCGGATTATTTTATATTTCTAGAGTAAAAGTTTCTTTTGTTCTCTTGCATGGCAGCTCTGGGGAAAACATAATGTGATCTTTCTTTCTATTGCGTTGATTATGTTTCGGTAGCATCACTTGGGTGGTAATTTAGTGACCTGCATTCTACTTGCCCAATCATTCAGATTGATGCATTTGAATTCTAGCCCCATTTATCTTCCATCTATCAGAGTGCTTGATGCGTCATTCCAAACTTATAGGTCTTTAGAATAGGATGTTTTGGGCAAAAGAATTTTGTTGGGTATATTCAAAATTATAAACAGATGGGCAAAAGAGTTTTGTTGGGTGTTTTCAAAATTATAAAAAACACTACAAGTTGAGTCAGTACCAATGTATCATTATCAATCGTCCAAAACATCTTATCCTATTCAAAAAAAAAAAAAAGAACACATATTTTTGGTACCATCCTTAAAACATTGAGGTAAATTAACTCAAAATATAATAAAAATAATTTATATATAAAAAATGAAATAATTATCTTTATTGGTTTAAGAACAAAAATAATTTCTATATTACTTATAGTGTTTTTGATACCTCCACCAACCCATTTAAAAATATTATAACAAATAAATGAACATAAAGACCCAATAAAAATTAACTTGCTTAAGAAAATAAGGTTTTAAATATGAATTGGTTTATGAATAATAACAAGTAAATAGGGAGAATTTGATGCAAATCTTAATGTTTTTGAATAAACTTGTAATATTTTTAATAGGTTTACAATAAATACTGTAATTAATTTATATACTACTAAAATGTAAATTATAATAAAAAAATCAGAACGTACAGTGGAATTTTCTTTACCCACACAAGTATGTAAACGGACGATGGTTCCACTTTGGCATCTTTTGTGGGGCCACTTGCGATTCAATCAGAGCAAAGGTAGTGATTCGGGTAAACTCGATATATTGTTGGAACTACTATAACATCTGAGAAAACCGTCTCGTCTTGTCACTCCATCACATCCACCGTCGCCAATTGGCACTCACGGGTACTTCCTTTCGTTCCATGTCTTCGTCGTATATTGCTGCTCTCTTTGTTCTTTGAGATCCCTGTAACCCTTCTGCCTCCTGTTTGTACTCGTTTCTAGGTTTTTGAAAGGTTTTTGGGGTTTAGGTTTTCGGTTGTGTTGATTTCTACTTGCGTCTTTTTTTTGCCCATTAGGGTTCCTTCTTCTGTCCTTAATTATCGGTATGAGTTTCTCATGATTTTGATTGTAGTTTGTGAGGAAAAATAAATGAATCGTTGATTAGGAAGGAGTTCTGGTTGGAAAAGCTTGTGGCTTGCTGTTAAGCTATGAATGCAATCCTTGAATCGTGGGTTCAATCTATGTCTGTTTTTGTTTGATCTCTCTCGGCTCATTCTTTGTTCGCATAGAACAAGAATTTGATGTAGTTGTTTTCTTCTCCATTGTAGTGTTGTTTTTTCCGTTCGTGTCAGCCTATGATGGAAACACACCTTATTTGTTTGTTAAGGAGGGTTATAGAACTGTCACGCATAATCTTCTTTCTTAGTTCTCATGATATTACAAATACTTTTAATTTTAGAATTAAAAATAACCTTTATTTTAATTGATCTTGTGGCACCTAAAACCAAAGTTGGACCAGCAAATAAGCCTGCATCATCTGTTTGTTTGCCTAATATGTAGTATGTAGTTGGACCATCCACTTCTATTCTTTTCCTTTTCTCAGGTGCTCACATTGGGTGAAAGAAATTGCTGTAGTGTTCATATCAATTTTCCAGACACTATTTTCGAAAAGAAAACATAGTTGTTTCCTGCTAACTTAACATAAGATTGTTACTTGGAAGGTACTCAGTCATCTTTAGTCTCGAAATATCAAGTGGAAAACACTATTACCTTCTGCAAGTTCCATCATGCAATGCAAGTTTATCTGTTCTTTGTCCTGAATTGTGTGAAAATAATTATTCCTCTTTAATTATCATGCCTTCTTCTGAAAAAGTCGGTTGCTTTTGCAAGGAATGTTTCTTCAATGAGATAATCAGAACATCGAATATCAACATTTGATGTTATTTTAAGAAACATTGTACTGATCACAGTATTGAATGCCATGCATGTTCCCAGTCTGGTCATTTGGCGATTCTCTTGGATGATCAAACAGAGAAAAAGAAAGATAATTGGAACTTTGCTTTTCTGGATATATTGATTTTCTTACAAGTAGAAATATTATGCAGTAAGTATTATGATATACCTTTTACTTGGATTGGTGGAACAGATTCATGTAGCGACCCCAAATAGTTGGGACATTACAGCTTGTTGTTCTTGTTGTAGTAGTATCTTTACTACCATTTATTGATGTTTGCCACATTTTGATCGATTGTAATCCATTGGAGTGAGACTGAAGCAACACATGTATTCTCTATTAGTGGTTATTACTTTTTTCGTTTGATGCTAGAACAAGGTGGTATCAGTTGGAATGCTTCCACTCTTCATACTATTTTCTCGCTTCCCCCTTATATAACTGAATTAAGGATTGTATACAACCTTGAACGCCCCACTTAGACATTCCAACTCTTCCTGCTCGCCCAACATAAGTTGGTCCTACTATGTATTCCTTTGAGAAATAACAAAATTACTGGGTATCTTTTATTTGTCTGTTTAAACTGTTTAGGTCAATTCAACACAGGATTTGATGTTGGTTGCCTCTCTTCAAGTTTCTATTTGCACATGTCAGAAGTCTATAAGCATAACTTTTTTTGTGCATTTTATTGTATCTTTATACCTTTTAAGATTGCAGTTACTCATGCTCCCTGATATGATATATGAACTTTTTACGGTGAGCTTTTTGAGGAAGATAACCTTGGGTTATCTAAACTGCTACATTGAGTTTGACTTAGTTGTACAAGATCTGAAATTGCTTTAGATTTACATGCTTTAATCTTACCAATTTGGTAGTCTGAAACAAGGACTAAAATCTTGGTTCGGTCCTGTTACCAATCTAAGGTTGGACTTGATGGTACTGATGTCGACAGTGTACTAAATGTTAGTATGGTTGGTACTGGTTGGACCACTACAAGCACAGCGAAAAAGAGAGAGATACAGTAGTAAGGCTGGAGTGGAATGGCAGCATGATGAGAGGATGGCATTGACCTGGTAATGCAGATGGGCAACAAAAGTAGAACATCTGCAGTAAAAGAAGAGAAGTAAATGATGATGAAGAGAAAAAAAAAGAGAAACAAGACCAAAAGCGGTATTATGATGGATAGTTTCAGACGATAAGCCCATAGTGAGCTCGATATTTCATACTTACAGGGCAGTTCATTTCATCTTCGGATCGGACTTGGTGGAACTGCCCAATCTGTGTGCTGATTAGGCATTGGATTTATTGAGGGTTTAGGGTTTGGTGTGTAGTTGAAACTTTATGCCTTGGTCCGATATTGATTTACAATCACTGATGACTTAGGGATTATTTTGCTGAAAAGCTTGATTCAATATATTCTTTTATTTTTAAGTAATTTTCTGGGTTTTTTATAGGTTATTAAAATTTTGGCTTAATTATGCAGGATTTAAATATTTCTCATGATGTCTTGGTGCGCTATTGAGTCTGACCCTGGTAAGTTGTGTGTCTGAAGCATATATTTGCCTTGGGCCTTTTCTTGTTGTTAGTTCCCTAACTTTTTTTTTTGTTTTGCAAAGATTTCTTGTACATATGAGTAGACTACTGTAAGCAAGTGTTTTTGGTTTGGATTTTATATTTGTTGAAACTTTTTGTACTAGGTACTGTGCTTATGTGTCTCCTTAAATTTTATAACTTGTATTTTTTTTTGTCTCAGATATATTATTTTAATTTATGAAATTTTATAAATCTTATGAAATTTTTCATGAAACCTGATATTTCCTTCTTTTCCTTAAAAGTGGTTGTCAGTAGGCTTTTGCTTGTGGTATCATTTCTAATTGCCCCCATTGACATGCAGAGATAGCTAGAAATGAAGGTTAACTTACAGTTTTACACATGCAATCTTGAAATATGCAGAGACATACATTTAAGAGGGTCCCTTTGAGTCCGAAATTGTGAATCTAGAATCTGTTCATGTTTTGGCTACATGTTAGAACCCTTGCAGATTCTAAACTTGGGGTTGATCTCTTTAGGGGATCGGCCTCCTTAGAACTCTATAGGGGTTCTTCCCTCCAAGTTGCTGCTCAAAGGCTGCAGAAAAGATTCAGCTATTGCTTATGAAAAGAGAAGGAATACATGGCTATTTATAGGGCTTCTAAACCCTAACTCCTAATAGGACTCCTACTTAAGACTCTTACTTCTAACCAACTCCTAGTAGGACTCCTAGTCAAGACTTCTATTCCCTTACAACTCCTAATTCTTCTTTAAGAAAACACCTCCTACATGAATGCCCCTCTCAATTAGGACTCTCATAGCTAGAGTCCTAACAGAATGTCCCTCTCAATTAGGACTCTCCTAGCTAGAGTCCTAATAGTTTTACATGAATGTCCCTCTCAATTAGGACTCTCCAAGCTAGAGTCCTAACAGACCCGCCCTCTTCAAATCAGCCTTGTCCTCGAGGTTGATGATTCGTGAATTCTGGGAATTTGATCTTTAAGTCATCATAGTTCTCCCAAGTGGCATCTTCTATTGGTAGGTTCGCCCACTGTATTAGCACTTCATTAGTGGGTCATCGTCGTCGAGTCACGATCCGTCGATCAATAATGGCACTTGGCTGGGTCTGGAGTTCTCTTTGGGTAGTCATATTTGGTGGGTGGCTTCGGGTTGTCTCCAAGCACCTATTTAAAACTTTCGTCTGGCCGTCGGTTTGTGGGTGATATGTCATACTCCTTTTCAATTTAGTACCCTGCATATGGAATAACTTTGTCCAAAATCTGCTCGTGAAGATGCAAGTAGAATTTATCGTAAGCACAATGCGTCCCTTGTAGTGTAATTCTTTTGAGTCCCAATTGTAATGAGCCATGGGGCTTGGTGCTTCCTCCAATTTTTTTATAATCTTACTAGTCTCTGAATCTTCCTGCCATTCCATCTTAATATCCTTAAGAAAGTCGCTGGTCGGAAGTGAAACGACCGAAACTTCAACTTGCTCGGGTAGCTGCGAAAGCGCATCTGCAAGAACATTCTATTTCCCCTTTTTGTAAGTTATTTCATAATCAAATCCAAGAAGTTTTATTACCCTTTTTTGCT